TTATATTACAAAGCCCTTCTAAGCAAACATTTCTTAAAAAAAATATATATATATATACATGTATATAAATTCTTGCCTCTGGACAGTATTATAAATTAAAAGTATATATATTGTATAATTTTTAATAACTCTGTTTTGATTTTACACTTGTGCTTTTAAATTAAATTATGAAAAATTAATGAAAATAATTTATTTTGACAGGCGTTTGCATATATCATTCTTAGAAGCTAGACCTTGATAAGTAACTTAAATATTGTAGAATGTTGTTTTACCAACGAAGGGATTTTAGAGGATAAACCAGATTATCCACTTTGTTCAATCTGATATATTTCAGATAAGTAGGGTGCATTCTAGTCAATTTTGAGTAGAAATTGTCAATTGGCATCTGAGTTAAGTGCTGGGCTGCTAGCCAAAACCTGGTAATTGGAGCAAAAATATCTACTCGGAAAAAGTGCAGCCAGTCAACTTCTGTTGACTCTTACTCTCCCAGGAACCCTGTGAACCAGTAACCTTTGAGGTTGCTATGCGTCAGAAGTGATTCAATAACCAGGTTTGTTTGTTTGTTTTTAGTCAAAATGTCGACATTTTAAAGAATGTCTAAATTTAGAAAACTAAATTTAGATAAAGTAAGAGAAAAACAGAAGTTAATTTTATTCAGTACTGTACATAAATAATTTAAGATGTTTTAGGTGATTTGCTGATATTAAGATTGAATTAATAGATGTCTATTATAATTAGAAATTCATATTTCTGTGAAAGATATATATATTCAAGGCTGCTAAATGGTATGTTTATTTTTCCTTTATTCAATTTTCCTAATTTTAAAGGGTTATTATAAGGGTAAACAAGAATATAACTTGTTAAAAAAAAGAATATAATTTGAAGTACTCATTAATGGTAAATCGTTTTGATTAGCTAAAACTATACTTGTCTAATTGAAAGTTTAAACAATTTAAGTCTGGGGAGCCTTTAAGATGAAATAGTATTAACAAAGAATTGGGTTTTTTGTCATTAGGAAAAAAATATTCTAGTTTAAAAATCTGATTCATTCTCTGTACGTATGGCTTCCAGGTAGCGGATAGATTGGATTGACCAACCCACGTGGTCTTTAAAAAACAAGACTGACGCTCTGACATTTCTCAGATCATTACTGACAAGTCAAAACGTCATGGGATGTCAGGTAACTTAATCTTTCTTGCTGTTTTGTAGTTAGCTGCCATGCCATGCTTGCTTTTTCCTCACCACTACTTTCCTGGAATTACGTTTTTCATGACTTGATACATTGCTCTTGGACAGTTGGTCTGCTTGAGCCCATTGTTGTGGTCACTGTGTATTTTTCAATCTAGGGGGCTTCGTCCTCCAGCACTGTATCAGATAGCATCCTATTTGATCCATAGGGTTTGCATTCATTTTTTTAATCGTTTTATTAGGGGCTCATACAACTCATCAAAATCCATACATACATCAATTGTGTAAAGCGCATTTGTACATTCATTGCCCTCATCATTCTCAAAACATTTGCTCTCCACTTAAGCCCCTGGCATCAGGTCCTCATTTTCCCCCTCCCTCCCCCCTCCCCCCTCCCTCATGAACCCTTGATAATTTATAAATTATTATTTTGTCATATCTTGTGATTGAATAATTTTTGAAAGTAGATTTCCAAGCCTTCCTCTCTAGTCAAGATACAAGGTAAAGTCTATCAAATGTGAAACGGATAGAGAGCAACATAAGAATCAGTCATCAATTGTCATGTTAGTGACACAACTGGGAAGGAGTTGACAGAGGTGTGTGTGGAACCAGTGGTGGTGCCAAGGATGGGGCTCTAGTTTCCCTCACAATCCCTACCCACGCCTTCACCATTACTGCATTCGGGACATACTCATGAGCTTACATAGTTGGTGTACAAATTGAGGGCCCCAACCCCTTCCCAGACTGTAACGCCAAAGTCCCAACTTGATCCAAAGTAAGGATCCATCACTAAGATGAGTTCCATTTGACTTTTAACATGACGCTTTCTCGTGCTTCTTATCTGAAACCTTAAACTCTCAAACAAAAGCACTGGTCTTTTATGTAAGAGACTGGAAGACTTTAACACCCACTCTTTCTTCATTCCAAAAATGTGAATGTTCAAGTGTGTGGCAATACTAGTCCTGAACCTAAATGACAGCCTGTTGTTTGGATGGGGAGGGAGCCAAGGACAAGGAGGAGTGTCGTGTATCTTCTTGACCATCTTGATTAGAATTAAGTGAAGGGCTTCTGGACTAAAGCATTCAGGATCTACTAGAAGCAGGACAAGTTTGGCAGCATCCCCATCTCCTCTGCTATGTTCCTATGAGCTGAGTTTCCCAATAGCCAGTTTACACAATAGAGTTTAAGTAATTTACAAAGCTACCCACCCTAACAATGTGTTCCTTTTTTTTCTCTTTTGATTAAATATGAATTAAAATCCAGATCTGAATTTCTGTGGGCAGTAAATAGTTCCTTCAAACCAAACCACAGTTGTATACATGTACATTCTTAAACCGTTTGATTTTTAGAAAAATGAGCTGCTGCTTAGAAATTTGCTAATTTTCTGGACATCCTTCTGTATACCCTGTAAGGAAAATCAGCAATGTTATCACCATAAAGAAGAATTACAGCACAATGCTGTTATGTCTCTGCTATGGTTCTATTGTATAAGTAATATTTGAAAGCATCCTTGTTGTAAAGTGTATAAGGATTACTTAAGAATAAAGAGAAAAATGCATAAGCCTTTTTTTTTACTATTTTTCCCTTTAAAAGTAAACCCTTAAAATTTGATGTGTATCTTTCTATACCTTTTCCAAAGAATTTATACCATACCTATGAATGCATATACATACAGCTTTTGGAAGACAGTGTTGTATACCCGTATTCTCCCCTCCCCCGCTCCCCCAACCCCGTGAGGAAGATAAAAGAGTAAGCAAAACTAGACCCAGTCCCCACTACATTTCTTGGATGAGAGACAAATATCAATTTAATATTTACACACATCCATATAAAATCTGAATGCTGGCACGCGCTAAGAAGAAATGGAGGAGAGAATGCTCTGGGCAAAGGCCTTTTAGGACCCAGATGAGAGCAAACAGGTGTGAGCAAAGCAGATCAAAGAGCAAGGTCAGGTTGGAAATGTTCTGTAACTTTCTTGTTAGAAGTAAGAAGTCTTAGAAATACTTCCTATCAGAGGTTTAAAAATGTATTGTTTAGATATTCACTGTTGAGCTTCTTTTACAAAGATAAAAACTACATGGGGATTTTGCAGCAAATAAGTTATATTGGGAAATTAAGTAGATGCTCCAGGAGTGAGAAGATGAGGTTGTCTGCTGCTTTTAAAAGGAGCGGTCTGCTCTGTCCTATAGGGTTGCTCTGATTTGGAATCTACGTCTCAGTAGTTTGGGGGTGGAGACACTGGGGGTTGGGGGTGGGGTATGTGTATCAGAGGTGTGTGTGTGTGTGTGTGTGTGTGTGTGAGAGAGAGAGAGAGAGATGTTCATACTGGGTGGAGAGTGGGAATCAATAGTTCCTTTCTTTAGTATTTGTGGAGTAAGTACTACCTCCAAGCCACTCTTTTAATCCTGGGAATACAGACGTGAAGGAAGCAGGTAAAGGCTGACTCTTAGGAAGCTTATATTTAGAAGTCGGAAACAATTACTAGATGAGAAAAATGGAGGGAGGCATAATCCAATCAAGAACTGATAAATAGTATTGGAGTTGATTACTGTTCTTATGAGACCCCTGAGTTTTTCTACCCTTTTTTGGGAACTCAAATCTAGGCCAAGGGAAAGAGTTAAGTAAGTGTACTGGCCTCGGGGTCAGAATAATCCAGTATCCTGCTATAATATTCTAAATGATCTCTTTAAAACTGTGTTTTCCTTCTAGTTTATGATCAGCATCGGCTAATTCTTTAGCCCCATCTTCTACTGAATCAGAATCTCTAGGCTGGGCCCAATCATCTGTGTTGTAGTAAGCCCATCAGGAAATTACGTGAGGATTACTGCTGGAAGCTATGCCACAGGTACTTCAGATACCAGTAGGGTCACCCTGGGTGCACAGGTTTCAGTGAGCTACGAGTAAGACAAATTAGGAAGAAACGTCTGTGGTTCATTTCTAAAATTAGCCAATGAAAGCTCTATGGGTTACAACAGGATCTTGTCTG